CGGCCGATTGGTATTGTCTGGAAAATGTACATGATTTATGGAAAAAGGAGAAGCATATGATTCATTATTTATGAGAACTTCGTTTCGAATACATTCAAAACATACGATGAGTCGAAGAGATCCACCTAGACCAAATGTGAAATTTACAACAGGAATGGAAAGGACAACAGGAATGGAAAAAACAATCCTCAGTGAACTGAGGAATTTTTTTCTATGGAAAAAAAGACTCCTCAGTTGAACTGAGACATTTTTTCTATAGAAAAAAGAGTCCTCAGGTGAACTGAGGAATTTTTTTCTATAGAAAAAAGAGTCCTCAGGTGAACTGAGGAATTTTTTTCTATAGAAAAAAGAGTCCTCAGGTGAACTGAGGAATTTTTTTCTATAGAAAAAAGAGTCCTCAGGTGAACTGAGGCGTGGATTTATTAAAAAATATTTTTCAATGGCCAACTGAGGCAACTGAGGCGTGGATTTATTAAAAAATATTTTTCAAGGGCCAACTGAGGCGTGGATTTATTAAAGAATATTTTTCAAGGGAACTGAGGCGTGGATTTATTAAAGAATATTTTTCAAGGGCCAACTGAGGCGTGGATTTATTAAAGAATATTTTTCAAGGGCCAACTGAGGCGTGGATTTATTAAAGAATATTTTTCAAGGGCCAACTGAGGCGTGGATTTATTAAAGAATATTTTTCAAGGGCCAACTGAGGCGTGGATTTATTAAAGAATATTTTTCAAGGGCCAACTGAGGCGTGGATTTATTAAAGAATATTTTTCAAGGGCCAACTGAGGCGTGGATTTATTAAAGAATATTTTTCAAGGGCCAACTGAGGCGTGGATTTATTAAAGAATATTTTTCAAGGGCCAACTGAGGCGTGGATTTATTAAAGAATATTTTTCAAGGGTCAACTGAGGCGTGGATTTATTAAAGAATATTTTTCAAGGGCCAACTGAGGCGTGGATTTATTAAAGAATATTTTTCAAGGGCCAACTGAGGCGTGGATTTATTAAAGAATATTTTTCAAGGGCCAACTGAGGCGTGGATTTATTAAAGAATATTTTTCAAGGGCCAACTGAGGCGTGGATTTATTAAAGAATATTTTTCAAGGGCCAACTGAGGCGTGGATTTATTAAAGAATATTTTTCAAGGGCCAACTGAGGCGTGGATTTATTAAAGAATATTTTTCAAGGGCCAACTGAGGCGTGGATTTATTAAAGAATATTTTTCAAGGGCCAACTGAGGCGTGGATTTATTAAAGAATATTTTTCAGGGCCAACTGAGGCGTGGATTTATTAAAGAATATTTTTCAAAGGCCAACTGAGGCGTGGATTTATTAAAGAATATTTTTCAAGGACCAACTGAGGCGTTTATTTATTAAAAAAATATTTTTCAAGGGCCAACTGAGGCGTGGATTTATTAAAGAATATTTTTCAAGGGCCAACTGAGGCGTGGATTTATTAAAGAATATTTTTCAAGGGCCAACTGAGGCGTGGATTTATTAAAGAATATTTTTCAAGGGACAACTGAGGCGTGGATTTATTAAAGAGTAGTGGAAAAAATATTTTTCAGGTGAACTGAGGATTTTTTTTTATAGAAAAATGATTCCTCAGTGAGCTGAGGAATTTTTTTCTATAGAAAAAAGAGTCCTCAGGTGAACTGAGGAATTTTTTCTATAGAAAAAAAGAGTCCTCAAGTGAACTGAGGATTTTTTTCTATAGAAAAAAGAGTCCTCAGGTGAACTGAGGAATTTTTTTTCTATAGAAAAAAGATTCCTCAGGTGAACTGAGGAAGAGTCCTGAGCTGAAATGAGGATTTTTTTCTATAGAAAAAAAGAGTCCCGAGGTGAACTGAGGATTTTTTTTCTATAGAAAAGAGTCCTCAGGTGAACTGAGTTCACTGAGCATTGTTTTTTGTATACAAAAAAAATCCTGATGTCACCTAAGGACTCTTTTATTTATGGAAAAAATAGTCCTGAGGTGAAATTTGGAAATTTTTCTATAGAAAAGAAACAGTGAACTGAGGATGTTTTTTCTATAGAAAAAAAGTCCTCGGTTCACCTCAGGACATTTTTTTTCTATAGAAAAAATTCCTCATTTCACCTCAGGACTCTTTTTTTCCATAAACAAAAGAGTCCTTAGGTGACATCAGGAATTTTCCGCAGTTCACTGAGGATTGTTTTTTGTATAGAAAAAAACTTGATGTCACCTAAGGACTCTTTTGTTTATGGAAAAAGAGTCCTGAGGTGAAATGAGGAAATTTTTCTACAGAAAAAAAGAGTCCTCAGTTAACTGAAGATGTTTTTTCTATAGAAAAAAAGAGTCCTCAGTTAACTGAGGATGTTTTTTCTATAGAAAAAATTCCTCATTTCACCTCAGGACTCTTATTCCATACAAAACAATTTATTGGACTTCATACTATTGTGTTGGCCTTTTCGAGCCTGGTTGCTGCTCAACTGCTAACGTGGTCGCCCGTCTAACCCCCCAATATGTGAACTAAAAAATAAATACGGCCACATTTAAAAATAAATATTGAAATGAATAAAGTAATACGACAACAAGCCATGCACGAGCTATCGATAATTGTATATGCAATATTTTACTTTTTTTGTTTTTGCCTATTTTATGTGAAATTCAATCTCAGTGCGACAAACTTTGGGTTAAACGCAAGTAGAGCATTTTTTTTTGTTTCGTTGCTTTTTATTGCAAAACTAGTATGACAGTTGGCACAAAAACAAAATGTGCACTATTGATCAAAAATATATGTATAAAAAATTCAAGTAATGCTTAGTTTTAAAAACAGATTTTCTCTATTTTTAGAACTTCGTTTGAAAATTACAATTTGAATTCCATTTCTGCTTTAATTTTGTAATTGCTTTAATTAGTTTTAAACGTTGACCATATTCGGCTGTTTGTTCAAATGTCACCCAGCTAAGTCAAATGGAATGACATACGTCGTTTAGCCATGTAATTACAACAATACAGTCATGGAGAAAAAAATAGCAACAAATGTGGTGTTGATTTTTTTTACAGAAACAAATATAGCAAGTAATGTTAGTCAATTTCACTGAGGACTTTTTTACCAAAGAAAAAAATCTCAGGGCCTGTTCTTCTATAGAAAAAAATTCTTCAGTTTACTGAGGATTCAGTTTTCTATAGAAAAAAATCCTCAGGATCAATAAGGACACATTTTTCTATAGAAAAAACCCCCCTAAAACACCAAAAATTACAGGGTACCTCCATATTGAGGCTATTCTGAAATTTGGTCCAATATTAATAATTCTTGGTAGGGAGATTTTCTACTCAATAAGAATTTAAAATAAAAAAATTACAGCCATTTCGTTTGAAAAACTAGCCCAAAACACCAAATAATGCAAATAATCTCATATGGGCGCTACCCTGAACTGGGACCAACGAGATTCCAAAATATTAAAATAAATCAACTTGGTTAAAAACTGCGCTCAAACCCCCCTAAAATGTAGAATAATGCAGGTTACCTCTATATGGAGGCTAACCTCAAACTTGGGCCAATATTGCCGAATATTGGATTTATAAATATAGACCCTTTGTGGGGTAGGTATTAGAAGTAGTGGACCAATGGATCCCATCTTTCCACTTGATCTAGGCTTTGTAAAGATAATAGGTTGCACAAAGTTTGGTTCAAATCGGATAGTACATTCGTCTGAAATTGGATTTAAAAATATGGAAAATTTTGACCCTTTGTGGGGGAGGTACCAGAAGGACCAATGGGTCCCATCTGCCTACTTGACCTAGGCTTGGTAAAGTAAATAGATTGTACAAAGTTTGGTTCAAATCAAACACTCCATTCGACTGAAATTGGATTTATAAATTTGGAAAATAATGATCATTTATAAGGGAGGTACCAGAAGGAGTGGACCAATGGGTCCCATCTTTCTATTTGATCTAGGCTATGTAAAGATAATAGGTTGTACAAAGTTTGGTTCAAATCGAACATTCAATTCGTCTGGAATTGAATTTATAAATGTGGAAAATGTTAACCCTTTGTGGGGTACCAGAAGGAGTGGACCAATGGGTCCCATCTTTCTATTTGGTCTAGGCTATGTAAAGATAATAGGTTGTACAAAGTTTGGTTCATATCGGACATTCCATTCGGCTAAAATTGTTTTAAAAAAAAATAAAAAAATTTGACCCTTTGTGGGGGAGGTAGACCGATGGGTCTCATCTTCGGAAATGATCTAGGCTTGGTAAAAATAATAGGTTGTACAAAGTTTGGTTCATATCGAACATTCCATTCGCCTGCTATTGGATTTATAAATATAGAAAATGACCATCTGTGAGGGAGGTACCAGAAGGAGTGGACCAATGGGAAATGATCTAGGCTTGGTAAAGATAATACGTTGTGAAAAGTTGGGTTCATATCGGACATTCCATTCCAAAATGTTGACCCTTGTGGGGTAGGTACCAGAAGGATATTCTACATCTTCGTACTTGAACTAGGTTTGGAAAAAATATTAAGATGTGCAAAGTTTGGATGACATCGTTTAATCGCTTCAAAAGTTATCGTGTGCAACAGCCGGCAAGACAGACGGACGGACGGACATTTGTATATCGACCCCAAAATTTCTGAAACGGATTTGGTCCAAAGAAACATAGGGTCTAAAACCAATATTTCGATGAGGCACATTTTCAGCGGATCAAAAGGGATATACCTTCATTAGCCCTAAGGCTGTGGGTATAAAAATCTTACGATATTGTATTGTCCGCTCTGTACGACAAGGGTCTTTTCTTCTCTAGCTTTTTCTTTTGTTGCAATGTACTTGCATACAGAATACGTATGATTCAAATAAAACATAGATATGATAGATTTGATAAACCTCTTTCAAAATATCCTCTTTCAAAATTAATTCCATTAATTCTTAAATGTAATATATGTTTGTGTGTGTGTGTGTAATATAATGCTATAATGAATGATATACGATATTAGTAGAATTTTAAATTTAATTTTGCAAATCCAAATAAACTTACCTATATTCAATTATTTGCTGTGTTTTACTATCGAATCGATATAAAACTTTATACATGGAGAATAATTTTCTTCGAGACTGCCGTTGAGCATTAAACGGCAATTAGCGGAACCAAGCTGAGATTTATTGTCGAGATAATTGCGAGAGAGAGGTGACAGTTTTCTGTTATCTGAAAAAAAAACAAAAATTAATATCATGTTTATGGGGACGAGTTTTTTCGGTACCACAAAAAAGAAATAAATAATGGCTTAATGTGATGGCGATGGTGTGGTATTACAGGCGACAACAAATGAGAACATTCTTAACACCACAAACCAACCAAATTTATAACAACGACAACGTCAACGATGTCATGCAGCAACCAACCACAGAGCCAACCAACCAACGTACACCAACAATTTCAAAAACTGTCTTCGAAATACCAGTTAACCACGTTAAGAACCAGTCCAACTGGTCTTTCTTATTCTAATAAGAAAACCCAAATACAAAAACAAAATGTTAATCAGCAGGCCAATAATAATAAAAACGACAAATACTTAAAGGTAAATTAATTACTGAAGTTTTAGGGGGAAAGATTTCCAGCAATTAAAATAAAAATTCTGAATTCCGATTATTTTTGGAATTCACTTGTCAAAGCTAATAAATCCTCATAAATCCAAATTAAATTCGTCTTTGTTTCGCACACCTCCTCTTTGTATGTTGTATTTGTTGCTCTGCAATTTAAACCGTCATTAACCCTACGGTCAATAACCGGGTACATTTGTACCTTTTTTTGAATAAAAATGCTGTAAAATTTTTAATAATGGAGATATTTGGATCAAATTTTGAGGAATTATTCTTGAGGTATTTTCACACATAATCGAAGAACAAATTATAAATATTTTCCATATATATAATTTTTACAATTTTTTGAAGTTATTACCTACGTAGATCAATAACCGTGGTACATTTGTACCCATCTAAAGATAGCTCTGTAACTCATTAAAAAATTGGACTATCGTGAGGGTTTTTGTTTTAAATTAGTATATGCGAATCTGATCTAGATGTAGGAACTCAAAATTATATATACATTAAAATAATATATATTTAAATCCATGGTTAAATGATAATCTATCTAAAACAATCATAGTAAATTCGTTATAGCTTTCGAATGGGTTAAGCTTTTTAGTTATTTTTTTATTGGGATCTTACTTAGGTGTTCCTCAAACCCTCTGCAATTTTTTGTGGCCCTAGACAACGTGGGGCCATCAGGGCGACTCGTGGAAGTCAGAAACTACCCTGGGTTTCCCTTAGTATACAGGGACAAAAACAATGATTATTGTGCGTAATTATCCAATTATTCTTCATATTGGGCCTGAAACTTTTTCTATAATCGAATTAGTCTGATTTATTACAATCCTAAATTGGCGTAAATATATAAATTATCATTAAATAACGTTTTAAAGTATTAAATAGTGTTAAAAATGTGTCAATCACAATTTCTAAACTCATAAAATGTGAATAATTGGCAATAATAATTGTTTTAGTCCCTGTATACCAAAGGAAAACCAGGGTAGTTTCTGATTTCCACGAGTCGCCCTGATGGTCCCATGTTGTCTAGGGCCACCAAAATTTGCAGAGGGGTTGAGGAACACCTAAATAAGATCCCAATAAAAAAATAACTAAAAAAGCTTAACTCATTCGAAAGCTATAACGAATTTACTATGATTGTTTTAGATAGATTATCATTTAAGCATGGATTTAAATATATATTATTTTAATGTATATATAATTTTGAGTTCCTACATCTAGACCAGATCTGCATAGACTAATTTAAAACAAAAAACCTCACGATAGTCCAATTTTTTAATGAGTTACAGAGCTATCTTTGGATGGGTACAAATGTACCACGGTTATTGATCTACGTATACATTTTTGGTTATTGACCGTAGGGTTAAATATATTGGTTTGTTGGCTACTGGCTTTCAGTTAGTCTCCTCCTTCGATTTGTTGGCATGGGTTTTTTTCATACCCTACTCACCTACTCATCAGGTGGTGTGTAGATTCAATGTGTTATTTAGTTTGGAATACTTTTGAGATCATATCGTAAATATGAGATCGGAATAAAAATTCTTTGTCAATTTAGCCATGTCAGTCCGCCTCTCTGTCTCGGGATATCATGATGGAGCTCATAGTATTTAAGAACGTAATTTAGCTAAAACTACTCTGGGGGCATCTTCATCCATTCTCACAAGATGGCCTAGCCAAAGTACGCGCTACAGCTCAATCCGTCTGACTATGTCGATGTCCGAGAATAGATGGTATAGCTCATAGTTCATTCGACGGCGATATTCACCATCGACGCAGATCGGCCCATTGATATTACGGAGAATTTCTCTCTCAAACACTCCAAGAGCTACCTCATTTGCTTGAGCAAGTACCCATGCTTCAGATCCATACAACAGCACGGGTAATATCAACGTCTTGTAAAGTGTGAGTTTGGTCTGGGGAGAGGTGGCCTTGCTTTTGAGTTGCTTACTCAGACTATAGTAGCATTTGTTGGCCAACACTTACTGCCAGTCCCACTTTGGCAGACTCGTTCTCCGCTCGCAATGTTTGACACAATCGTCGGCGTAGACAAGTAACATATGCTGTTTGGAGTACACAGTGCCATTTATGTTCACATTTGCATCTCGTATGACGTTTTCAAGCAGGATCCTCGATCGATATTGAAGGGCTCCGAGAGGTTGCAGGAATGCCACACGCAGACATGGCTTTAAACACCTCTCAACGGATAGGGCTGTGCCATTGTGCTTCTGTACTCTTATCGGGACAAGAAGTGCTTTCGTCAAGCAGGTGGGTAAATTGAGCGGAGTAGGCCTATGCTACCTGTAGTATTTGCAGCTTTTCGCACCTTTGCAGCTAAATTAGGACGGGTGCGAAGCTTGGCTGCCACAAGGTAATTGTCCAAATCGATATTCGCTCCTCCTATCGATCGAACGTGTAGAATGTTTCTTCATGGAGGCTGATTTTTCCGAAGGTGGGACAAAAAACATTTTCCCTTCCGATTTTTGCATTAAAATCTCCTAGAAAAATATAGCTGCCCGTAAAGCTCACCGCATATAGCTGGCCATAGACCAACCTATCGCCTTATATGAAGTCAATAGAATTACACTTATCAGTTCCGGTAATCGACTTGAGGATAGTTTTCCTACTTTTCAACTTAAGTCAACAGGTTTCATTCATCAGTTCCCGTAATCGACTTCAGAATCTTGTTTCAACTTTTCAAATTATCGCAAATTTTAAACAAATTCTCGAGCGAGAATTTTGGGATAGTTCGGGTTGCTGTCCAATGGCATTTTCATCTCCACAGTTCATGTGTTGAACAATGCAGACAAAAATTTCGTGGCGAATATTTTCATATCCCTCACATGGAGGAAGACATAGGCTTCGACATAGGTGTTCAACTTTGCATATGTCCTCAACTGATTATCAAACGTTTTAAACTAGGTCAAATGGATGAACTCTCGATTTCCTTAAACATTCGGAAACCCCTCCTACTATGAAAAAGCAAAATTTTTGAAAGGCGTGGGTAAATAATGGGCACGGAACGGAATCATGGATTCCCATATTATAGAAAATATGGAATTCCGCAACAAAATACATTAAATCTTTGTAATCAGGGTCCTTAGAGATAAATATGGTAAACATCTAAAAGCGACCTGGTTCTAAGTTAGACTTGTTCCATTTGATTTTTTCAGAGGAAACAATATTTAGAATGAAGATACCGTTCGATTTTGAATATTTTAAATACCCATCTCGGAACAACTCTAGTTTAGTAAAAAGATCAGATTTTTCTGAAATTTGTTTCCAGAGGAAGGTATTTTTACGCTAATTATGGCAATATCTTTTTTTCTTAGGGGACGTACCCGACTACCCTGTCGGAAATTTGGTGCGGGTATCCGGTTATACCCGGTTCTACGGATCCGGTTAATATAAAATAGGTATAATTTTAAAGCTTATAAAAGTGGGGTTATCTCAAACCATTGCGGAAATATAACTGGGTTTTAGACGTGGATTCCCTTAAAGTCGAAAGTCCAAAATGGTGCGACATGTGGCTATACCCTACAAAAACAAGGAAATTCTTTCTAAATGACAAAATCTTCTTTTTAAATAGAAAGTTTTTTTGGGTATGGCGGCCTTCAGCCGGGGATTTTAAACCACAGTCGGGCGAAGCACCGCACGCGTGCACTCTCGCGAGAGTAAGTATCACTATTCTCTCACACACATTCAACTGAACCAATTGAAAAACCATTGACACACACACAAAGACAAGTGCGTGAGAACAGAATTTTTTATGCTCTGCCCGTGCCTGTTTTAAACATTCACCTCCACAACAGATACTGTCTTATATCGAACCAATTTGATAAGGGCAAATTGTGGTCTATCATTTGAGTCAGGATTGGAGAGACACCATAATGGACCCAAGGTCGACTTAAAGGAAGTTTTTCAAAAAAAATTGAGGTCTAAAACCCAGTTTTCACCTATGGACAGATACCAACACCGGCTATGCCCCATATTTTTGGATCCACAACAGATACAGTCATATATCGCACCATTTTGGTAAGAGAAAATTGTGGTCTATCATTTGAGTCAGGATTGGAGAGGGACCATAATGGACCCAAGTTCGACTTAAAGGTAGTTTTTCAAAAAAAATTGAGGTCTAAAACCCAGTGTTTGACTGTATCTCAACAACGGTTTGAGATAACCCCATCATATCACTAACACTTAGTGGGAAGGTATTTTTATAAGCTTTAAAATGATACCCATTTTATATTGATCGGATCCGTAGATCCGGGTATAACCGGATACCGGTACCCGAACTTCCAGGTCAAATAACCGGGTAAACGGGTAAAAAAATATACTTCCATAATTAGGGTAAAAATATCTACATCTGGAAAAAAATTTCAGAAAAAATCTGATCGTTTTAATTAAACTAGAGTTAAGCCGCCATCTCATTGTGCAGGGTATAGCAAGTTCGATCAGACCTAAGATTTTTCCTTATTTTCTTGTGGGTTTCTCCTTTGTTTTTTTTTTAATATCTTTTTTGCCATTGATTAACC